TTCAGCCAATCAAATTTTTACGTAGTGCAAATTTACTATTTAGGATGTTGATCATTACAATATTTGGTAATTCCAAACTTGGAAAAAATCCTGACTGGATTGGGTAAAAACTCCTACCCAAAATTACAAATTGGTTGGTATCAAAGAAACAGGGAATTTAGGAAAATAATTATACAAAACAAACACTATTTTCCTCTTAATATCAGAGCCCAAATGCAATTTCAGGGTCACCAACCCACCCCAAATTGCAACCTCCTGTGCTTGAAACGAGTTGCTGATTCTCTTAATATTCTTCCAGAGTTGCAACTTCTTGGACATAGATCCATCCTTACCCTAGAGGTAGAATTGTTGCAGGCAACTTTTCAGCTAACATGCCAGCAGCCTTCTCTGGTCTGGGAGCTTTGAGGGAAGATTAATGAAAACATCCTTGATGATGATGCAATCTTGGTAAACTCCAGAGCCTTGCCCCCCCCCCCCCTAGAATTCTGTTGCATCATTGTATCATCAGGAGCACCGTGGTCAGATTAGTCTTTATACATAAGGAAGATGAGAATGACTGTAAAGTGTTCAAGGTAGCATGCATGCTTCAACATCTGTAAATTTCCAATATTCAAAAGTTACATATTGAAATGTTTTCATGTTTTCATGTTTCAATGCTGCCTTGACATCTTGCAATTATATATTATAATAATAATAATAATATTGATTAAAAAAGCAAAATACCAATTGTTTACCATTTTGATGAGGATCTTATAATTACCCAGCAAGATCTGCTCCACATTTTGATTTCAGTAATATACATTATATAAAATAAAATCATTGAAAATATAGATTCAGATATTGATTGTTGCCATCACTATAAATAGAAGGGGAATAACCTTTTTAATACAAAGCTTTAAATGTTAATTTTAATACTAATCAAAATGAATGCCACGTTTTTTTAATTAATGAATGCAAGGTCATAAATAATGTATGCCACATTTATTTAATAATAAATGCATTGTTATTTGGTACTAATCAAGATTGTCAAATAACAAATGCCAATGCCACATTTATTAATAATGGATTTATTACTGAATTTATGTCTAGTTCATTTTAATATATTATAGAACAAATTTGAATTGGCAATTTTGTTTAGGTCAAAAAACATGAAAATCTAGATTCAGATGTTGATTGTTGCCACCACTATAAATAACCTTTTTAATACAAAACTTT